CTCCAATAAACATAAATCAATAGAATGTGGACTGGTACACATAGCTCTGATTGGGGGATTTGAACGTTTGATATCTGGCAACCGCAAACATGAACGCTCGCATAGTAGAGGTGTGTACCAAAGTTATTTTCGTAAACGAAAACTAAAACTAAGATGAAAACGATTGATGAAAAAACTATTTCTTAAACTGAAATAAAATAAAAACGTCAAAATAATTGAAAAACTAAAATGAAACGAAACTAACAACAGTTAGTTAAAAATAAAATAATAATTATCAAAAATAAATAATCGTTTTCGTAATCATTACGTTCTCACCCCTTGGCGGAAAAATATACAAGCTGTGTGGAGGTTTAGGGAAATAGCCTACCTGTAGGCTAATGGTGCATCACGCACATGAGGTTATCTGACGGAGAGACGCAAAGCAGTTTAAAATCTGCACGGGTCCTGTTTGGTAAACGTGCACCAGCAGTACTTAACAGAACACCCGACCCATTATCTGACAGCAGCACTAATTTAATTCTGTACCAGACGAGAACCGTTTGACAAAGACTGCGAGTCATGACCCGAACCGCACTCGCATTAAATCTATTACATCAGGTAAGCAAGATTATTTATTTTATCATGTAACACAAGCAATCAAACCAACATTAGTCATTCTAAGTTGGTGCTTTGAAGAAAAACAGACATGCAGTGCAACATGATAATTAACAGGAAAAAAAGATGAGAACGCGCATCCTTTCTGTAAACAACACAAAACTTTAGCCAAGCATCTTGTGATCACTCTGCCAGGCTTTCGGACAAATGTGCATTGGTTAAATCACATCATACACACGCTTATAATTCTGTATAAATGAAAAGAACATTCAAATATAAGCATTTACTGTTAAATGCGATTGCCGTTATTATTGAATTTCATTAGTCCCAGTTTTGATTGATGCACGGCTGTTCACGGAAAAGTGAGCAAGACACCACAGTTATACATACATGCAAATTAGACCGGAGAAAACTAAGGAGAAAAATCGAATTTTTGTTTAGGTCATGTGATTTTGTGTTGCATAGTATGTTTTGATTCCAGGTAGAGAAATATATACAGTATATATACACTCACCGGCCACTTTAGGTACACCTGTTCAATTGCTTGGTAACACAAATTGCTAATCAGCCAATCACATGGCAGCAACTCAATGCATTTAGGTATCTAGATGTGGTGAAGACGACTTGCTGAAGTTCAAACCGAGCATCAGAATGGGGAAGAAAGGGGATTTAAGTGCCTTTGAACGTGGAATGGTTGTTGGTGCCAGACCGGGTGCTGCTCCTGTCAGCTAAGAACAGGAAACGGAGGGAGATTCGCATCATGGATGTGCAGCCGACAAATCTGCAGCAACTGCGTGATGCCATCATGTCAATATGGACCAAAATCTCTGAGGAATGTTTCCAATACCTTGTTGAATCTATGCCACGAAGAATTAAGGCAGTTCTGAAGGCAAAAGGTACTAGCAAGGTGTACCTAATAAAGTGGCCAGTGAGTATATTATATATATATATAGAATATTTTTATCTGAAGTGTCTAAATTAAGCTTTGGTTAAAGTATGTATTTCTTTGTCATTGCTACAGCAAGAATTATTAGTGACTGTGGGTCAGCATGCATATATATATATATATATATATATATATATATGTGTGTGTGTGTGTGTGTGTGTATATTAAAAATTCCATTCTAGTATTACAGTCAGAACATGATATTAAAAAGTAATAGTAAAGTATTACAGCTTGAAAAAAAAAAACACTGGATGATGTTTTAATGCAATTTTCTTGAGCAGACTATATATTCAAGGGGGCCGTGCTTTTTTTTTTTTAATCCATATTTAAATAAAAAGATAAATGTAGGCTAATGGGCATGGCATCAAGGAGATTTCTTGAGCATAATTGCCTTTTGCTTTTAAAGGGGTCCTATTATGCTTTTTCAATTTTTCAACTTTAGTTAGTCAGTAATGTTGCTGTTTGAGCAT